TTGTCTAAGCAATATACTAGAATTGAGTTTTCATAATTATTTTAACATTATGAGTACATTTTAAAATGAGACCACTGTGCGTCGTCGCCACGCGCTCCAATTTCTTCGTCCCCCTACGCTTCACCACCACAGTCCACAAGGTGGCTGGTGGGGCCTCCCCTCCCCTTTTCATTACCAATACATTCGATGGGTGAGGGTGCGAGGCGGAAGGTATTAGAATCCACAATATTATCCTACTTGTGGTATATGTTGTTAGTGGCTTGTTTAATACTTGAGGATCTTGGACAAAACCAAGAATCGGAAGCTTGACGACGTCTGCCCAAACATCGACCCATCTCATTAAATGAGTTTTAATTACCTGAAGGAGAAACAGGTAATCGTTTACCTTAGTTACAGGAGATAGATTATTAAATAAAATTAGACAATTGTTTTATGTCAACGACAAAGTAAAGTTATATGTAATGTACAATACGTCTGACCTGAATCCTAGAACAGTTGGTTAGTAGGTATATCCAAGTGAGACGGAGTTGTTTGGCTATGATGACAATTAGCGATAGACAAGTCGTTGAATAAAACAAATTGGGTCAATCCATGTCAAATCATCCAGAAGTGGTTGCACGACTACCTCATATTTTTCTTAAATTTTCAGGGTTTATTATTTATGCTATAATTAGATTAAAACAATTTTTTTTTTTTTTTTTTTTATGACCTTCCGATTTTTATGGCTATTTCAATGTAAAAAATGTTAAAAATAGCCAGAACGTTAAAAAACACACAAATTATTCAATATTAACTCAATCGACTTAAAATTTTAGGATTGACCTGATTATAACTTAAAGTTAACATTAAAAAAAAAAAAATTTATGTGAAATTTCAAACTTAAATGACTTTCTAAAAATGGTGCTTTTTTTGAGAAAATTGGCGTTTTTGAGCTCACCTAAAACCATTAAGAAGTTATTATTTTATAGTGATTTTCAAATGTGGTATTGTATAGTATATAATCTATGTTTCAACTAAATTTCAAATATTTAAAACAATTTTCTTGGGATTTAGAGGCCTACAAAGTTAGAAATTTTATAAAAAGACACGTATTCTAGGTGCATTATCTCTGTTTGGGAACCTAATTTCGAAAAATTTTTTTTTTAATTTTTTAGTTATATATCTGCTTAATACACCATAAAAATTTGAAGTTTGAGAAAAAAGTTTAACATTAGAAAAATTTAGCATTAGAAAATCAGTAAAAATCCGTTCAAAATCATGTAATTTAATGATACTTTTTTGTTGTTTTCAAACCATATTTTTATAATTTTTTTATATATTACTGTATATGTAATATATTACAATACAATGTAACTATTATATATTATAATTATTACATATAAACTATTCTGTAAGAATTGTGTATAGGTTTTATAGGTTGTATTGTGGATATTTTTAATTTTAAATCTAATACTTTGGCGTTGTTTGTCTTTATAGATATCTAATTCGATAATCTTATTCTGATATACCATTGTTATCGATTCAGTCTGTTATTACCGAAACGAGTCTATCTATATATAGTTTAATAAGTACATAGTATAGACTGCATAGAGATATTATTCCTAAATGTTTCCAGACGTTTCTTGAGAATTTTTTTACTACTGTTACATATATAATACATATATTTTAAACTTATTTTTTAACAAAATTGTTTTTTACACTTCAACAAATATGATATGTTCCGACTAATGTCTAATGATAATCTATTATCTTGTATATGGTGATTTTGAAATGTATGTACAGCAACGGTATTATGTTCCATGTGATCACTAATTATGCATATACATTGACACTTAATTATATTTTCTATTTTATAATAATAAACAAAGGCATAAAGAGTGGCTTATTTATTAACCAAATGGAAACTTTGAATTTCATCATGTACTACAAAATTATAATTTTCTGAAAAATAATAATAATTTTTCTTCTTCAATATTATGATCAGCAAATGAAGATTGTCATAAATCAGTGTATGGATCATTTTCTAAAACTTTAATTAATCTTGATAATCTATATCAGTATCAGTGTTGAGAAGGAACTGGTTCCAAAAGGAACGGATTCCTGGAACGAGTTCTTTTTGAAGGAACGAAGCTAGGAACTGCTTCCTTTTAAAATAAAGGAACGAGGAAAATGAACAAATTCCATTTTTTAAGGAACGTGAACGGAAATTACAGTTCCTAAAAATTTTTATAAACATGTTTTAGTGTAGTTTTCTTCGTATCTAGACATTAAAATATCAAGGTATTTTTAGTTGACTTTTGACAATGGAAGTCCTCTATATACCCAGCCGAGATCGTAGGCTGTTTAAATGAATCAATTGACTATAGA